AGTATCTTGCCACAAACGAACATTTGTAAATACTGTATTTAGAGAATGTACCCGGCTTCGCTCGGTTTTTACCCGAGTAAAGGTTTGACTAACGAAAATTATTTTAAAACCATTCTAGAAAACATTCAATCCACCTATATATAGATTTATAAACGTATATAAATATAAATATTGTTATATGCGTTTAAATATATTTCTGAAACATAATTTTTTTAAAAACCTTTATTATATTTAAAATAAGATATTGTCACGTTTGTGAATTTTATAATTAACTAGCGGATGTACCCGGCTTCGCCCGGGTTTTACGCGAGTAAAGGTTTGTCTAACGAATCTCTCGATAAAGTGAACATTTTTTCCCGGTCCCTTGAAAAATACTCTATAAGTTGAATAAAATCAATATTAATTGGTTCCCTCGGTAATTGGAAGTTAAAGGAATAGTAACTTGCCTTGGAATTGTATCATTATCCTTGTCTCAAATAAATTGGCTTGTCATCCTGAATTTTGTCTTTCCTAATTTTCTACATTACAAAATCATCGTATCATCATGATAATATTTAGAGCAGATTGTTGAATTATAACAGATAAATTAGAATATTTATCTTGATTATTTTTAAGCGAGAAGTTATTTCAAAAATTTTATTTGCTAGAAACCTTCCCAGTACTATACTAAATAACTTCCCAAAGTTTCATGGCGTTTCAATGAGTGGTTTGGTCAGGCATAAAGGACAGACACACACACATACATTCATTTTTATATATATAGACAACTAGCGGATGTACCCGGCTTCGCCCGGGTTTTACCCGAGTAAAGGTTTGTCTAACGAACATTTGCTAAAACAATTCTCTATAAACTTATAAAAAAAGATATATTTTGATAATTTGAAACTCGTAAATTTGAATCTCTCGATAAAGTGAACATTTTATCCCGGTCCCTGTGTGCCGTGTCATCCTGAATTTTGTCTTTCCTAATTTTCTACATTACAAAATCATCGTTTTATCTAGTGAACATTTTTACCGGTCCCTTGAAAAATACTCGATAAGTTGAATAAAATCAATATTAATTGGTTCCCTCGGTAATTGGAAGTTAAATGAATAGTATATTTGCCTTGGAATTGTATCATTATTCTTGTCTTAAATAAATTGCCGTGTCATCCTGAGATAATCTTACTTTTGATAAATAATCTTTAAGATAATAAACTTATAGATAAAAAACTTGTTATCATCGTCGCAATGGTGGCGCTGCTTGCGAGTTAAATATACAAATCTGCAAATAACTCTAAGGATATTCAAGATATTCAAGAAATTATTTTTCAGAAACCTTCCCAGTACTATACTAAACAACTTCCCAAAGTTTAATGGCGTTCCAATGAGTGGTTTGGTCAGGCATAAAGAACACACACACACACACATACATTCATTTATATATATATAGATGACAAATTAAATTAACAATGTAAAAATATATTTTAACATTACAACATTTTAACATTTAACACAAAAACGTTGCAATATTTTCTTTAAATATACACTTGGTTCTTTTTTTATGCGGTAGATGCGTTCCAGGGGAATCCGCATAAAAAAATCGCACAAAAAAGACATACATTTATATGTAAAATGATGGATACGTTCCATTTATTAAAAAAATCGCATAAAACCTAAATAATGTTTTAAAATGCACCAGAAATCGCATAAAAAAAGATTTATAAATAATAAGATTTAATTTTTTTCTCATCATATTTTAATAAATGGCACATATGTGTGTTAATAACAAAAACAAAACTTAATATGTAAAAAAAAAAACATAAACAAAACTTTATTTAAAATCATATTAAGAATGTTTTCATCATCATTCGCTGTCTGATAATGTGCGAACCCGTTTGTGGATTAGTGCAAGATCACTTTCATCACTTGAAGATAAAATTACGTCATCAGATCTACATGGTAATGCTTCTTTAGGAACTTCAGTGATTTTTTTTTCTTTGACAAGGTAGTCAGTAATCAAACGCTGTGATGGCTTGACTAGTTCTTTGTAGAGTTCTCTGTAGCCAGACATACAAAATTTCAGATCACGTTGGAATTTTAAGGCGCGTTCTACATCATTATCATTTTGAATAAAAAAATTTCCAATTTACCGGAAAGTTGAAGGCCTTCCCGAAGTAATTTTTCGTCCAGTGGAGTAACATCTTCCAGTTCGCTATCTACTGTTTCGAAATCTTTAGTAGTATCTACCATACTTTCCAAAATATCATTATCACTTAGGGCTTCGTCCACAAGCAATTCTTCTATATCATGCTCGCCAAAATCATCAAAACCTTCCCCACCTATTTCCTTAGCAATTGAAATAATATCTGATGTTACTATTGTTGTTCTATTTGATTCATTTCTCTTTGATACGCATTCAGGCCAAGCAGCTTTCCAACATGCATTTAAAGTTTGTGATTTTATCTCGGCAATTGCTAACGCAACATGATCTACACAGTTCAAGATATTAAATTGTTTCCAAACTTCAGTAACTGTTATTGTATCGGATTCCAGTTTATCGAAAATGAATTGGAAAGTGAATTTTACATAATATTTTTTAAATGTTGAAATAATTCCCTGATCTAATGGTTGAATTAGGCTCGTTGTGTTTGGAGGGAAAAAAACTATCTTTATATTTGGATGTTCTAAGTTTAGATGACCTGGTGCATTGTCAAGAATTAATAAGATCTTAAATTCGAGACCCATCTCTTTCATATAATTTTCTACTTCGGGTGCGAAGCATTTATTGAACCATTCAGTGAAAATAGCCGTTGTTACCCAGGCCTTCTTGTTTGCCATCCAATGTACGGGCAGTGTATTTAAGTCTTTTCCTTTTAATGCACGTGGTTTTAAAGATCGATTTACAAGCAGCGGTTTTAACATTCGATCGCCAGATGCATTGCTGCACAGCAATAAAGTAACTCGATCTTTAGCAGCTTTAAAACCACTGGCATTTTTTTCGGACTTTGCAATGTAAGTACGGGTTGGCATTTTTTTCCAAAACAATCCTGTTTCATCAGCATTGAAGATTTGATGGGCACAATATCCTCCATCTTTAATAATTTTAGCCAACTTTTCAGGATATTTTCTAGCAGCTTCTTCATCTGCAGAAGCCACCTCACCTTTTATTTTTAGATTATGAAAAGAATGTCTTTTTATAAAACCAGTTAACCACCCTGTGCTGGCAGAGAATTGTGGATTACTTTCACGTGAAGATGTAGATGGCTCTGATTCTTTTAACTCCTTGTAAAATTTAAGGGCTTTCATCTTGATTAAATGTCCATTTAACGGAATTCTTTTTTGAGTTAAATCTTCAATCCAAATTACGAGAGCCTTTTCTGTTTTTTTCTATTAAAGTGCCTCTTGAATATGATGAAATTTTAGAACTCAAATTTGTACCAGATCTGACTGATCTTATTGCCGCTTCCTTTTTTTTATTGCTCTTATAGTAGATTCGCCTAAATTATAACGTTTACCTATTGCTGTTGATCTTTCTCCTTTCGCCAAGCAATCGAGAATTATAATTTTGGTTTCTAGCGAAATTGCACTTCTTTTTTGTTTTTTATTATTGTCACACATTTTCTTTAAGAGGACTAAAAATTATAGAAAACGCACTAAAATTATTCAAAAAACTTACAATTCACTTGAGTAAATTTATCTTCCGGTTTTCGGTAGTAACCTTCTTTCACAAAGTTTTATTTTCTAATGCTTTCCAATATGCAGGCTTTTTTAATTAGTTTCCTACAAAAACAAAATGCAGCATAAAAACACGCAATTTTAACGAGGTATTTTTGTTTTTGTCTCTTTTGTTTTCAAGAACAAATCAAGAGAAAACATGCCAATAAAAGAAAAAAAGAAATTTGTAACGGCAGCTGGCACGCCGGCGGGTTTTCAGTTTTGATTTCGGTTTTGCACGAGTTGTGTAAGATACCGGCAGGCGCGGAATAAAAGAAATTGGAACTTCCCCTCTACTGTTTGTTGGATAACTTAACATACAACCAGGACGTTACAAAATTCTTTCTTTGTATTGATTGCGTAATAGTAGAGTTGTAGTTGTTATTCTTATTCGTTTTCAGAAAAAGTGAATCACCAAAAAAAATTTTCGAAATTCGAATAATTTTTTTTTTCTTACACCGCATAACTACAAAACCGCATATAAAAAAACGCATAAAAAGAGAACGAAGTGTATATTAATATTGAAATGCCAAGAGTTTATAGCCATTATAAAGCACTAATATTTGAATTAGTTTTACTTAATATATTAGCCCTGAAAAACCCAAGGTCATCAGGCGTGAAGGAGACTTCCTACCAAAACCTAAGCCTATCTCCGTCGCAATGGGGGCGCTGCTTGCGAGTTAAATCTACAAATCTGCAAATAACTCTAAGAATATTCAAGATATTAAAGAAATTATTTTCCAAAAACCTTCCCGGGGATATACCAAATAATATCCCAAAATTTCACGGCGATTGGATCTATGGTTTTGAATCTATAGAGTACAAATATACAGACAGACATTCAATTTTATATATATATATATATAGACTAGCCGAATGTCCCGGGCAACGCCCGGGTTTTACCCGATTGAATGCTTTTATTCAAATACTATTCGTTACAATTATAAATTGGCGCCGTGGATGTCATTCTTGTATAATATATAAATGAGTTTCAAAAATTGTAAAAAAAAATAAATTAAAAATGCATCGGCCGGGAATCGAACCCGGGCCGCCCGTGTGGCAGGCGAGCATTCTACCATTGAACCACCGATGCTTATAAGAAATTGCCCTAATTGGGTATTTATTCTATTCACAAAAGCAAACGATGACAGAATTGTTGATGACTCTGATACTTGTATTTATAATTATGTTAGCATAATGAATTAGTCAGTATTCCCATGGTCTCCAGCGAAGAGGTGTGAATTGACTTTTTAAAATATACATAATTATAAAGATAGAAGCTTCTATATAAATAACTAAAATAAGCCGAAATAGCTCAGTTGGGAGAGCGTTAGACTGAAGATCTAAAGGTCCCTGGTTCGATCTCGTGTTTCGGCATCTTCTAATTTTTACTTACCGTAACTTGACACGTGACTTAACGTGACAGAATTGTGCATGATGCTGATAACTGTATATATTAAACTAGCGGATGTGCCCGGCTTCGCCCGGGTTTTTACCCGAGTAAAGGTTTGTCTAACGAACATTTGTTAAAACAATTCTCTATAAACTTATTTAAAAAAGAAGATATATTTTGATAATTTGAAACTTGTAAATTTGAATCTCTCGATAAAGTGAACATTTTTTCCCGATCCCTGTGTGCCGTGTCATCCTGAATTTTGTCTTTCCTAATTTTCTACATTACAAAATCATCGTTTTATCTAGTGAACATTTTTTTCCGGTCCCTTGAAAAATACTCGATAAGTTGAATAAAATCAATATTATTTGGTTCCCTCGGTAATTGGAAGTTAAAGGAATAGTACCTTCGCCTTGGAATTGTGTCATTATTCTTGTCTCAAATAAATTGCCGTGTCATCCTGAGATAATCTTACTTTTGATAAATAATATTTAAGATTTTATTATATATATTATATTATATATATATATTACACGTTATTTGTTTTCTTGGCCGACTGTTTTACATATGGTGTTATCTTAAAATTGCTTGTTTTGAATATTTTTTTAGATTGAGATTATTAGCTAGTATGTAAAAAAATTAACTCTGTTGAAATTTTATTTTGTATTTATATATAAATAAAATTAACTCTGTTGATTTTTTTTGTATTTAATCGATAACAGCGAAGTTACGCATGTTAATGTTAGGGAAAAATATTTTGATGTTAAGCAAAACCTGCTCCATCTCGTTTTACATAAATGTTGAAAATTTGGTTGAAATTGATGCATTGTAACGAAAGTTTTTAGTGATGTACACTTATGAAATTTGCATTTTATTAATATAGATATGTTAAGTATGTTGCACTTTGATAATTAGATAAATAAAATAAGTATTTTATCCTTTATAAAGATATATCTTTCTTTAAATAAAAACAATAAACAAAACATATTACATGGTACAACCGACAGCCAGCTAAAAGAAAAAGCCAGTTTAAAAGGAATGCCGATGAAACTTGGAGAAAAGTTATCGTTAGTAAAAGATTATTTTTCAATAGTAAAAATAATGGATTTAAAATCTTCTAAGGAATTATAAATGCTTGGTAATTTGTCTTAAAACTGGAAGCGATTCAAACAAATATTTGAAATTTATTTGGAGGCATCAGGCTTAAACGAAAAAAAAGGAGAAAACAAAGACCTCCATATTTTTAAATATAGCTGGTGAAAATGCAATAGATATTTATAATAACTTCAAATTTGAAAATGAAGAGGATAAATATAAACTATATATTATTTTGAAAAAATTCGAGGACTATTGCGATCCACTAATACAACGTATGAAATATATGTCTTTTTTACAAGAAGTCAAATTGTAGGTGAAGGGATAGACAATTACGTAATAGAATTGAAAAAAAGAAGTAAATCTTGTGAATTTGGTCAATTAGTTGAAAGCCAAACAAAGATAGACTTACAATGTACTAGCGCGCCATCTGTTATCAAATTAAAAACTATTCTAGACGCGTAATATTCTTTTTAAAATAAAACAATTTCTACTGCCCTCACTGCAATTTTAAAAAGAATATTACGCGTCTAGAATAGTTTGTAATTTGATAACAGATGGCGCGCTAGTGCATTGTAAAGCCAGGCCCTCCCTTTAATTTTTCCATTGCAGTAAGGGCAGTAGAAATTGTTTTATTTTAAAAAGAATATTACGCGTCTAGAATAGATTTGTAAAGATAGACTTATTTGCGGAATGCTAGATGATACATTAAGAGAAAGATTACTAAAAGAGAGAGATTTGGATTTAGGTAGAGCACTGGAAATATGTAAAATTTATGAAGCTGCAAAAGAGCAAGTTAAAAATATCAGTAATTGTAAAAGTTCAAATGTTGATTCTATAAATAATAATTATATAAAAACACCTATTCAAAAAGTATAGAAACATCAAAAATGCAAAATGCATATCAAACTGTTAAAAATAAACATGCAAATGCAAGCAAATATTTTGTAAGAGATGTGGATTTGGTCATAAAAAATTTCAATGTCCAGCATTTGGTAAAATTTGCAACATTTAAAAAAAATCATTTTTAAAGACATTGCTTTCATAAAAAGTTAGAAAGGTACAGAAGGAAATTTGGAAAATTATACAATAGATGTAATCACAGCTTGCAACAAAAAAGATTGGATGAATAAAATTGAAATTGAAAATTTTGATATAGAGTGCAAGATTGATACAGGATCTCAATGTAATGTAATACCTATTGAAGTTTTTAAATATATATATATATTTAAATATAAATAAAAGACTGGATAAATAGAGTAAACAGTCATTCAATAAAAGTATATGGAAAATTTGAATTATCAGTTGTATATTGTTACACCAGGTTGCGGCTTGGCAGACTCTTCAGCCTGGATTCTCTCCTGTGCTGGGTCTTGCATCTTACCAGAGCGTGTTTCAACCATCCTAAAAATTTATAAAAGGGAATAACGAGATAAGTCTTCTTTAAGTAGCCACCAGAATCCTTTATTTATTTTCTCACATCAAAGAGAGCAGTGAAGTCACAGTGTACCTAAATACAAATGATGATAAATTAATAATCTGTTTTAAATAAATATCATAGAATATTTTATATAAAAATAAATAAATATATAATTTAAATTTCAAATATATTAAAACTAATATAAGAAATACGCCCTTAATCATGATGTAACACTTCCCCCTCTCCAGAGGTCGTCACGTCCTCGTGATTGACCTCATCAATTCTTTCAAAATAGGGTTTGATTCTTGAGACATGGACAATCAATGGGTCTTGGCCAGGATTATCTTTTGGTTCAATTAAGTAATTTACGTTGGACAGCTTCTTTAATATTCTATATGGGCCAAAATATTTTCTCAGTAGTTTCTCACACTTTCCTATTTTCCTAATTGGTGTCCAAACTGCTACTAATTCTCCTGGTTCGTAGCTTCTTTCCATGTGTTTCTTGTCATAGTTCTTTTTCATTCTTTCTTGAGTCTTTATTGTGTTGTTAATAACTAATTTTCTTGTTCTGTTTATTTTGTCTAAGTGATGTTTTATGTATTCATCATAATCATCTTTGTCAATGTCCACCGAGATATTCCTGTCGTCTAAAAGAGACGTGGGTTCTCTTCCAAACATCAGGAAAAAGGGAGAATATCCTGTGGTTTCCTGAATTGTAGTATTGTAAGCGTGAGTGATGAATGGGAGTATTTCGTCCCAATTTTTCTGATCAGTGTTCACATACATACTGAGCATATTGATCAATGTTCTATTTAACCGCTCTGTCAATCCATTAGTCTGGGGATGATAGCTCGTTGTGAAGCAATGTTTAATCTTGCACGTTTTCATCACCTCTTTCATTAAATTACTGGTAAATTGAGAGCCTCTGTCACTAATAAGATATTGTGGGGCTCCGTGCCGAAGAAAAATATCCTCTACTAGAAATTTAGAAACTTCTTTCACTGTTGCTTCCGAGACTGCTCTTGTTTCTGCATATCTAGTGTAGTAGTCCGACAACACGATTATCCATTTTTTCCTGTTTTTCGTAGATGGTAGTGGACCAACAAAGTCAATTCCAATTCTTTCGAAAGGAAAGTTGGCTGGGGGGATGGGCTGTAGTAGTCCAGAAGGTAATTGGTTTGAGCCTTTCCTACTTTGGCAAAGGTGACACGTCCTAACGAATTCTGAGACATCCTTTAGCATGGATGGCCAAAAGTATTTACTCTTTATTCGGTACATGGTTCTGGCGACGCCCAGATGGCCATTCGACATATGATTGTGATATTCTTTCATAATTTCTCTCTTTTTATTCTCTGGAACCACAAGCAACCACGACCTGCCTTCAGGGTTCGGGTTTTTCTTAAAGAGGCATCCATCTTCTTCTTTAAAGTTTTGCGCAATTGATCGCCTGCTTCCATTAAGGTTTTTCTTAACACTTTCGATAAATTTATCCTCTTCGTCTGTTATTTGATTTAAAAATAGCCTTTCAAAATCCTCATCCCAATCAGTTTCTGGTAAGGGCCCCCTAGATAAGCCATCGGCGTCCAGATGCTTCTTTCCCGATTTATGTATTATATCGAAGTCATATTCTTGAATTTTCAATGCCCATCTTGCCAATCGACCTGTTGGATCCTTCAAGTTTTTGAGCCAGCATAAGGCGTGATGGTCTGTTACTATTTTAAAGTGTCTTCCATAAAGGTAGGGTCGTAATTTTGACATTGACCAGACAACGGCCAGACATTCTTTTTCAGTGGTTGAATAATTTTGCTCCGCTTTACTTAGGGTACGACTCAAATATGAGATCACCTTCTCTTCACCACCGATGTCTTGGACAAGTGTTGCACCTATGCCGATGTTGGACGCATCAGTATGAACATAAGTAGGTGCATTTGGATTGAAGTGACCTAAAATTGGTGGACTTAATAGTGCTGTTTTTAGGGTTTGAAACGCTTCCTCTTGTCTTTCTGTCCAGGTAAATGATACACTTTTTTTTATAAGGTTGGTCAAAGGGTCAGCAATTTTTGAAAAGTCTTTGATAAATTTTCTATAATATGAACACATTCCCAAAAAGGATTGTACTTCTTTGACCTTTTTGGGTCGAGGAAAATTTCTGACAGCTTTGATGTTATGTTCCGCGGGTTTTATACCATGTTTGCTCGTTATATAGCCGAGAATCTCCAATTCTTCAAAAGCAAATCGGCATTTTTTGTCGTTTAACCTTAAATTAGATTCACGAAAACATCTAAAAACAGCTTCAAGTCTTTTGAGGTGCGTTGGAAAATCCGGGCTATATATGATAACATCATCCAGATAACACAAACAAATTTGCCATCTCAGATTTCCAAGCATATTCTCCATATTTCTCTCAAAGGTAGCAGGCGCGTTACAAAGTCCAAAAGGCATCACGTTGAATTCATATAATCCATGCGC